CACCTGCTGCTACTCCTCCAGTTGACCCTTGTGTTATTCAACATCCTCATCAGCCTTATCCTGTTCCTGGTGACAGTAGAAATCTTAGAAGGGCACACCCAGAACAAGTTGAAAACCAAGAACCTCATCCTAAACACAGAATAATCCCTGTCACTTGACCAGATAACATCCATGGAGCTAAACCTCCTATTGAAATTGAAAGGGATATTCAACAAAACAGAGATACAGCTCAAGAATGGATTCATAATGCTCAGCATAATATTTGGGAAAGACAGGAAAATATTAGGAGATATGAAGAAGAGAGAAGGCCACCATCACCTCTTAGGCCTCAACCTCCTTCTGTTCCACAGGAATGGACTTCACATCCTCCCATGTCTCCTTTAACACCTCTTCCAAAATCTACAACTCCTCCATCTCCTGTAGCTGGTCCATCTCAAACCACACATGTTGATGAAGAAGAAGAGGACCAAAAAGGGTATTTTGCAAATACCTTTGAATTCCTCCTTGCTGCATGCATGAAAGAGTCTCCAGAACATTACAAAGATGTCCTAAAACTTAATCTGGAACTCCAAAAGAAATGGTTCAATGCTATGAAGGATGAAATAAAATCTATTGAGGAAAGGAACATTTGGACACTTGTGGACCCAAAACCAGATCACAAACCAGTCAAGTGTCGATGGGTTTTCACTATCAAAAGTGATGGTTGGTATAAAGCTCATCTTGTGGCAAAAGGTTTCACACAAGAATTCAGAACTGACTTTGAAGATACCTTCTCCCTGGCTGCTTGTTTTGAGACTGTATGAATTCTTTGATCTTTTGCAGCTCAGAAGAACTGGGAAATGAGTGCCCTGGACATTAAGACTGCCTTTCTTTATGGCAATCTGGATGAAGAAATCTATATGGAACAACCAGAAGGTTTCAAAGTTAAAGGTCAAGAGCACAAGGTTTATCAGTTGCTGCAAGCCCTTTATGGTTTAAAGCAAGCAGCATTAGCATGGAACAAGGCCCTACATGCTTCTCTTCTTCACATGGGCTACATCAGATCTAAAGTGGATGCAGGGATCTATATTTATAAATCCAATGCAGGCATGGTTATCTTCCTCATCTATGTTGATGATGGATTATTTTTAGGATCTAATCCTAAACTCCTAAAAGAAAAGAAAGATGAGTTTATGAAGAAATGGGAATCAAGAGACCTTGGAGAATGTAAAGAATATCTTGGTCTTCAGACCCACAGAAACTGCACTAGATGTGAGATCTACCTGGATCAGATCCCTTATGTCAAAAAGGTGATCAAATGATTCCAAATGGAAAATGCACATAATGTTTGCACTCCATTACCCTCTGCATCAGTAAATCACTTTTGCTGGCCAGAGCTGTCCAGAGCTGTCCAGCACTGGACAGATTCCCTAGGACTGCCAGCACACAAAGTGGTTTACTGATGTGGCTACCAACCATCCAAACAAGAAGCATCTTATCAAGCTTCTTCTGCTCTTTGCTCCCAATATCAGAGCATTATTGGCTCTCTTCTGTATATGACTCTAGGCACTCGCCCAGATATTGCTTTTGTGGTAATTTGCATGTCTCAATACATGGCAAATCCAACAGAAGATCATAAAAACAAAGTGCTGTCACACACCAAAGGTGTTTGGTGAGGTGGACATGGATACAGCTGATGAATGGAGATGAAGACCATAGCCCTCATGTGAAGAAGGACAGCCAGAAATGTTGGCAGTCATCCCTTGCACAAGAACAAGTCATCAGTGCCAGAGAAAAAGAAAGGGAGCAAGTTAAGTGCTGGCTAAAATTCTTAAGCACCCATGTACAGCATTCTGGTTTGCAACATATCTCCACTGTTTCTGCAGATACAGGGACCATTCCCACACTTGCTTGTAGTGCTCAGCCATGCAATCTTACCTTCCAAAATTGGAAAGGATTTGCACACTCCACACATATCTACAGCACTCCCCCCAAAAGACACTCATTTCACTAACTTCTTCTGATATGGCCACCTCTACATCAATCATTTCACTTGTTGCCTTTTATATGGACCATGGCTACATATATCTACCAGGAGTTCCTACCAGCTTCTGTCCTGAAGCATCCTGGTACATCCCACCCTCATCTGTGCCCTCTCAGCCCATCCAGCTTGGACAGCATGTTCTTTTTGTCAGTATGACCTCTAGGAGGACATTCTTTGGTCGCCTCAGGTCTGTCATTCACTTGGAAAGGTCTTATATGGTCATTTCAGTCTCTCCAGTCCAAGAAGCATATGGATCCTTCCTCCCTGCTCCCTGCAATGTCTTCATACTGGTCTCATCCATCATTCTTCCAAGATTGTGACAGCTACAGTATAATCTACTGTTCTCCACTCTCCCTGATTGCATCCATGATGAGTATGATACACATCTTGCCTCCTTGTTGCAAGATACAGCAGAAGACACTCCCCCTTCATCCTCTCTTCCAACAGAGCCTCATTCATGAAGTTTTCAGTTTGCTTCACTGAGAGGATGGTTTGGGGGGGAAGGTTGTGATCCCCTATGCTCCTGTCACCCCACAGACCCCCAAAGCTTGACCCCTGTTGACATCTGACTCACCCTGTCCACTTTTGGATGTACTATATTGGCATCAGATCAGCGATGCCTCTCTGTCATCTCACCTTGGCCTAGAAGTGATCTCTTTGAGATGTGACATGCACAGCCTCCCCCTAATGCAATTCCAGTGTGCTTTCCCAGTTCCTGACATCACTTGACTCATACTTTGATGTTCTGACTGTCTTTGACTCACCTGTTGCCAATACTTACCAATCTTTTGACTTTGCTTACTGATTCTTTGCTTTTTGGCTTGCTAATCCTTACCAATGCTTACCAATGCTTTCCAAGATGATTACCCATTGCTTGCATTCCTTACTCATCAGTTACCAATCACTTACCAAGTGTTTGCACCTTGTTTTCCAAGAGCAACACCCCTGTACTGTATATAACTCACTGTACTTAGATAGCAAAAAAAAAAAAAAAGAAGAAGACATCAGAGAGCCCCTCTTGCTTGCATTTTATCATCACTCAGTAATTCATTCAGCAGCTTTGATAGTTGAGACTTTATTAAGGGTCTAACTATTGTCTACTTTGCTTATCCTTGTCTATCATCAATATACTTCGCTCCAAGCCCTCCCTGAGCTCAGTGCAGCTTAGGACATTGAATTAAGTCGTCATCCATCCTTCTGTAGGCTGACAGCAGTCTACCCTATCGCATTCTCTTGCAGTTCCTGCTTCCTTTTTTGTCAGGAGCACCCCATGTCCCTCAGCACTCATCTTTGAGTGTTGTAGCTCACAAAAACCCTCCCAAAGAACAGGTTCTACCATCTAGGTACTGCATAGGCACACCTACCACTCACTCTTTTTGTCCTTTGTGTTGGTTTTGGTTGGTTTTCACCACTGAACCACACTTTGACTCACAGCACTCCATATAGTCAAATATATTGCTTATACTCCAAAGCTCATGCTTTACTATTCTGGGATCAAATCATGAATCTTTGGTTTTGCAGATTCTGATTGGGCTGCCAATGTGGATACTTGTAATTCTACTACCAGCTATGCCATATTTCTTGGCACCTCCCTTATTTCTTGGCGATCAAGGAAACAGAAAACTATTGCCTTATCTTCCACTGAAGCCAAGTATATGGCTTTATGTGATGCTGCCAGACAAATCAAATGGCTTCACATGCTTTTTAAAGAGCTAGACCTTGATACAGAGAAGACTATTCTCTACTGTGACAATATGGGAGCTCACTTCATTGCTGAGAACCCTGTCTCAGATGGTCACTCTAAGCATATTGATGTCCAGTGGCACTTCATTCACGAATGTGTTCAGGACAATTTATTTGCCATTGAATATATCCAAACAGACCAACAAAAGGCCAATGGATTAACCAAATCCTTAACTTGGCAAAAATTCGAAAACAAATTGCTCAGTCAATTGGTTTAGTAACACTACCATTCTAGAGTGAAGGGGGAGTGTTGGAAATACTGGTTATCAGTGTTTCTCATAGCCATGTTCTAGATGTGCTTATCAGATGAGTTTTACTCATATGATGTCATGCTTGCTAAGTTACTCCACTTTATTCCATAATGTTCCATTCTATTCTGTACTATACATAGTAGGTACTTTCTTTACTTACTATATGCACTCATGGTCTGTGCTGCATTCCTACATGTATATAAACCCAGGGGTTTCCACCAAGTCCCCTCAGTGAATTCACATTCCTCTTACCTGACTACAAGTTCCACTCTTAAGTCAGAACTACTCTTCAAGACTAACCATCTATTACTTCAAGCTCTATCCAATACTATAGGCAAGTGCTCATCTAGCTCTTGCCCCTCTCCCCTTCCATTCCTCTGCCATTATTGCCAGCATCTCCAAGTTTGTTTATGTTGCCATCCAAGATTCCACATCCTGGTTCTGGAATGTTAACTGGATTCCCTTTCAATAGAGGTGCAAAGAATCACATGCTTTGAAATGGAATTCCCCTATCTCTTAGGATTGACTGACCTGTGTCCAACTGCTGTTACCATGGAACCTTTCTCCACTTCAGTCTTCAAGGATCTCACTTGAATATTTGCTACTACCACCAAGATCTGTGCCTAGAGGTGGTTCCACCCAGCATCACTGCCAAGGCTTCTTCATGACCTCCACACCTGCCTACTCATTGGTGTGTCACTCAAATGCAGACAGGGAGGTATGGGTAACACACTTGAGTGCCATCCATTTTCAGGGCTAGTTCATTCAGCAGGTGAGTTGTTACACACTCCTTAGCAGACTCTGACTTCCATAGCCACCATCCTGCTGTCTAGATAAACTAACACCTTTTGTGGTGTCTGATAAGCATGTATTCCAGCACCTTAACCTCCCATTCAGTTCATCCCACATCACCAGTTCTGCTTACCAAAAATGGCCCACTAGAAGCTCTCAATCACCAGACAGTCCAACCAAGAGAGGAAATTGGCAGACAACACTTTCATCTTCACCACATGTATATATCACAGAGTCATGATGGAATGTCAGTGACAACAAAAGACAGTATACAAGATAGGTTAGCATGGACCAAAGAGACCACACCTGGATATGATGATGGCATAGGTGTCATTTTCATTACCAGTGTTGCAGTTTATCCAGCATCCTAGTCATGACACGAAACAGTCCCCCTGCTCCTCCCGCCAATTTCCACCAGGTCTTTGGTGATCCCAAGGCATAGAGCCAGCCCACAAGTGAAGCGCGGAAGACTGCGACATCGATGTTCGGTATAGTGACGAAGGCCCCGGGACTGTACTATTCTAAGTGCTCCACAGTACTTCCCCCGCACAGACGAAAAAGCCTACGATTCCTTCGTCTCGGCAAGAAGAATACCCATGACCACACTCACGAGCGCCGCAAGGGCGACAGATATCAAGGTAATCGTGGTACGCGCAACAGGGAAGCGGCCGCGCAGCATTGCAGCTTGGACTGTGAAGTAGCGAGTTAAACCTATGCACGAGAATCGTCAGAGCGCCAAGGCAAGTCATCGCTGGAGCCCACCGAGAACAAGAACAGCAATCCCGAATACGACGACAGTAACACCCAGAGGGCGGGCAAACTTCTGCGTGTTCGTGGTTCCTTGTGAAGTGGTAGTTGAAGATGACGAGCTGGATAATGCGAAGAGTTGCACCAGAGCTTTATACCAGAAAATATTATACCATCAGAGACGAAATCGCGGACTGTAGTTAAACCACAAACCAACACCAGCGCTCGCGCAAGCCAAGCTTGTGCGGACGTATGCCAGGTACGTTCTCTCGGCTGCCAAGTGATCACGCGCGACGTTACCCTTATTCTCCAGCACAAGGCTCAGTTTGAAGGACGCTGCGGCATTTTTGAATCTTTTCCATCTCACGCCTTGTCCTAGAATCCGGAGACACAGGACGGTCGGATAGGTGAAGTGGGGGTTGGGTGAAGTTATCTGGCCAACTACAGGGCGCCGAATGTGTTTCGCTGGGAACCTCACTGAGAGGCTCAAGATCTGGCATCCGGTCCGGACCGTCATCGTGCGTGACACCTATGCCACTCATTGCATCAGTACTGTGAGGAAGAGGGGAAGGTGCCAGTCGCGAAGGCTCCAATTCTCCCTTTTCTAGGTTGGCCATATTAGGTAGGTGATCCCCTCCGGCACAGGTCGATATCCGCTGTGTACTCGCTGGCCGTAGATTGCGCCGGTAAGAGTCCCATGGATGATCGTGCAGGACAGGCTTTTATACAGTGGGAGTAATAATAGCGAGCCATGACGTAGCTAATCGTAACATATATGCCATTTTCATAAAAGAAGTGGATTCAAATTTGGTCATAGTCTGACGGTGGAAGGGGATTCGGCTGTTTTGCATGTTGGGCACCGTACTTATCTAGTAACGAGCGCGAACTAATGTTGCACGTAGGCTTCTTACAAGGTAGATCATCCAAACACCGTGTATCTTTCTGGTAACGAGCCTATTCCGATCCACTTGATCATTCTAGCCTCGTCGCTGCGCTGTTCCCCATTCTGCTATGTGGGTGATGAAAATATTCTACGTGCCCATTGGTGCACTCCTTCCATCAGATCACCATGCACCGGCAGACTTACTTCTGTCTTTCCTTCTCAATGCTAGCCTCTCGCCATTGCTTTCCTTTGTAGAGGGCCAAAAGAATTATCAACTCGGCAATTAGCATCAACCCCGCCCAGATGGTGTACAGTCCCCCATCACCAATTGCATTCTGTGCCATATTCAAACACGGCGCGCGTTAAACAGAAGAGAAACGCACCTGCAAAGGCACAGCAACTTCAGCCGCAATGAATGCGAAGGTACCACGAATAGAACTATTTGCAGCAACGGCACTTGATGACCTTCCGGCATTGGAGTCTACAATGTACGCCAAGGTACTGGAATATATCCATCTAATATCAACAACTATGAGTCAGAACTACATTCCAGGTGGCCGAGCTCACATAGAGAAGAAGCCGCTCAAGAATAACATAGTACACATCGCAGCAATGTGGACACGCTCTTGACATACCCAAGCGTAACCGGTAACCGCTGGCGGTAATACCCACATAGCAATCTTCGTACTTTCCAACCGCATCTACCAGAGCGGAATGTCATTAGTTAACCTTCAGTCCAGCTAGGACCCTGGTTTACCTCTGGGAAACTCGCACCACCATTCGCTGCTGTCAGTCGTGCAAGGGTCCTATCGGACCACTGACCACCCAGTATACTCCCCAACATAGATCCTGATCAAGAACAAAGCATGAGCTGAGGCGTTGCCTGGTATCCTTGTGATGCAAACCGATGCCAAAAGAAAGAAGAACCAGCCCAGTCTTCAATGCATCATAATCATAGTAGAGTGAAAGAGTTCGTGCACAAGTATATGCGATACTGAAGCCGAACGCAAACAAGAGTCCTGTGAAATATGATATATAAGACATGATCGAGTCATGAGATAGACCATCGACTAACCAGACGGTATCAAGATCACGAGATTATATTTGCGGCGTAGAATCTTGACATATGGCGGAAAGGGATTTACATTCGAAAATGATAGGGCGATGTCTTTTGCATCTCCAACAGTGGCAATGGATGGTTGCGCTTCAACGTCCCTGGACGGCAATTCACCGACCCTCTTCTGGCTGTTAAACATCTCGGCTTCAGACAAACGTGGCTCTTGCATCCTTCTCTTCAGGATGTTCTGGTATGCCAGGCTGCGCTCCCCTCTGAACGTGTCCTTGAATAAAAACAAAAATGCTGAGAACATGATTCCACCCCAGATCACCAGAAACCAAAATACAGCACGCCAGCTGAGTGCTTGTGTAAGTACCCCACCTATAATCGGCCCCAAGGAGGGGCCGAGAAGGGGGGCACAATAGAAGACACCCATCTTAGTGCCCCGCTGATGGGGCTCATAAATGTCTGCTAACGTGGCGGCACCAATTGAAATGACAGCGCTCGACCTACAGAAATCTGTCAGATGGATAAGTACGTACCAGTAGAAAACATAAGGCATACCCAATTGCCTGTAGGATACGCATACCGATGACAAGTCCTATATTCTTGGAGACAGCAACAACAGTTGAACCCAATGTGAAGAACGAAACCGAGGCAAGGTAGACAAGCTGAAGAAAATAATCTTTCAGCCACAGGAGATTACAGAAAGCAATGTTTACAGACTTTTCTTCCCTTAATCTCACTCAACGCGCTCCACAGTATCGGAAAGTTGCCTTGCACAAGGATAAACAAGGACAAGCTCAAGCTTATCTGTCCGCTCGACGCATGCAGTTGTTGTTCGATCTGTGCGTTTGCGGCTGGACTGGAGTTGGTGAAAGTGTCTTTCAATAAAATGCAACGTACGATTCTGGATATTAGCACATAGCCCTGCGATCATAGATGCTCCAGAGATAATGAATAATATTGCCGTCTGAAACGGGTCAATACTATCCTTGAATATGCGATAGGTATCCAGTAGCGCATACCTTTCTGGTATCGGACCACAGTCGGGGATCATCTTCTACCACGGCATGTTCTATGTCAAGCTTGGATTTGTCTAATTCCTTCGTTACGATAGGAGAGGTCTGGAGAGGTGAGCCACCAGTATCTTTCTCGGTTTCGGTGGGTGGGATAGTCACAGCCGGGGGGTCTACAACACGCATAACCAACTGCGTAGTTGGGAAAGGGGTGTAATGAAATGAAGAGGCAGCACGCTTCTCGCATACTCAGGTAGCACCCGCGGATTATATTTATTGCAGCACGGTTGTGAGTGATGACAAAACCTGCAACCATTGCCGCATAAGCCGTAAGTGGAATTCCTCCGGGTGTTATGATATCAGTGGGACCTTGTTCCGGGTCGGATTCCACGGCCGAAACACGGGAATTTCTGCTGGTGCCATTCATTCAATATAACAAAGTTGAGCCGTACGCCTCAAACCTAAAGCAGCATTATTAGTACTGTAATGAGCGTAAGCATCCCGTCATGCGATACTTCCTTGTCAGATAGGACTATAAGTAACACGGCGGCCATGTGTAGCTTCAGTCTAGAATATTAGGATGTTCACTTACTTACCTCTATTTGGCTATGGGAAACTCGATGTGGGCACTGACTCACATCATCATATATTCCACCCGTTCCGCGCCGATAGCCGTAGATCGTAGGTCTTGTGGTCTTCACTTGATGTGCGATAAGTACAATAAGCTCGCTGAGGCGTCGGCGATACCGACCTGACGGCAGCACAGTACGGCAACGAGAGCAAAGCGTGAAGCATGTCAACGTGGGGCTAATACATATGGTTTGTTAGTCGTTGCATGCTCATAGCGAATGTCCTGAGGAGTCCGCAAGTGGCGTCACCATGTTATCCGTGTTGGCACGATGTTCCCTCCTCGAGAACAGTGCTCATGATGAACGCAAGTAGGACGCTATCTGTCATCAATTTAGTGCCACCAGTCTAATCCCGATCGAAGCAGCTTACAGAAAGTATCAACGGAGTTTGAACGATCCCCCTTTGACTGCTAGTTTACATGAAGCTATAGTACATACAATTCGTGCAACGTGCACTCTCAAGATATCCGTGTTTCGCAGCCGAATCGGCATCTATATCACCATTCACTAGCAGAGTGCCGTCTTTCCTCCTCATTACTAGTCTCTCGCCACCCCCTACCTTTGTAGAGAACCAGTAAAATCATTAGCTCAGCCAACAGTAACAATCCAGCCCATGCGGTGTATAAACCTCCGTCACCGATAGCATCCTAGGCGGGTTCAATAGAGCATGGGTGGCACGAATGAGGAAGGCGCACCTGCAACGGTACAGCAACCTCTGCTGCGACGAACCCAGAGACACCACGGAACAGACTGTTCATCGCAACTGCACTTGATGATCTTCCGAGATTGGAGTCTACGATATATGCCAAGGTACTCGAATATATCCATCTTAATTCCATGCGCCAAAGATGTATCAGATACCGTAGATGCACATGAACATACTCACATAGAGAAGAAGCCGCCAAAGAATAGCATTGTGCACACCGCGGCAATGTGAACGTGCTTTTGACACACCCATGCATAACCAACCACTACCGGTGGTAACCACCACATCGCTACCTTTGTACTTTCTAGTCGCATCTACTTAGATCAAAACATTGTGAGGTATTTGGATGGGAAACCTGCGAAACATGTGTTCTAGTCTCACCTCCGGGAAACCCGTTCCGGTGTTAGCTGCCTGCAACCTCATTAGGGTCCTATCAGACCATCGACCACCTAGAACACTCCCAAAGAGGGATCCTAAGAACAAGTGAATGAACGTTAGCACGTTAGCATATCGGTAGGCTGTGCACATTTGATACATACCAATGCCAAAGGAAAGTAGGACTAACCCGGTCTCCAGGGCATTATAACCGTAGTAGAGCGCGAGGGTTCGTGCGCATGTGTATGAAATGCTGTAAGTGAAAGCAAACAATAACCCTGGGAAAACGACGTAAGTCGGACGGAGAACAATTCATATCACTGTTTGCCAACTGCCCACACACCTGAGGGAAACAAAATCGCGAGGTTGTGTTTACAGCCCAAAATCTTAACATAAGATGGGAAGGGGTTGACATCCACAAAGGAGAGCGTGATGTCCTTCATGAACATTGAGTTTACCAGCGTTGGGTGGGCCTGATCACCTTTTGGGGTTTGTACGCCATTTTGACCACTGTTCCTCATTTCGCTGGTGGGTGAATTGGGTTCCGACGGCTGACATTTCAACTTGTGCATCCACTTTTTTTTCAAAACAGTCTGGTATGTCAGGCTGCGCTCTTTCCGGAACGTGTCCCTAAATAAGAAGCAGAATGCCAAAAGCATGATACCTCCCCAAATCACCAGGAACCAGAAGGGGGCACGCCAGCTGAATGCTTGAGTGAGCACTCCACCCATAATTGGCCCGAGTGATGGGCCTAGAAGAGGTGCACAATAATAGATGCCCATCACGGTACCCCGTTCATGAGGCTCATATATATCTGCTAACGTAGCGGCACCGATCGCCATAACAGCACTTGCCCTGAGGTTTGCTGTCGGGTTAGGAACCGCACATCGGCATGAAAAGTAACACATACCCGATCGCTTGGACAATGCGCATGCCGATAACCAAACCTATACTCTTCGCGACAGCAACAGTAACCGAACCCAGTGTGAAGAGCATAACCGAGACAAGATAGACAAGCTAATAATGGAAAACGTCTTGTAAATTGAGGCAAAACGATAACATCACCATTACCAACCTTTCTTCCTTTGATCTCGCTCATAGCACTCCAAACGACGGGAAAAGTGCCTTGTGCAAGGACAGAAAGAGACAAGCTAAGACTGATCTGTTCACTCGTGGCGTGCAGCTGTTTCTGTATCTGTGCGTTGGCCGCTGAATTCGTGGTAAGAGGGTCAAGGGAAATGTTACGTGGGAGATAGCGCACGATTCTGTATGACTGTGCAAAGGCCGCCAATCACAGATGCGCCAGAGACCAGGAACAGCGTTGAAGTCTGAGAAATAGATTGCAGTTCTGTAAGTTCGCGACAAACGAAACTAGCACGGAATACGCACTTTCCTGACTTTCGACCATACTCGAGGGTCATCATCCACTACGGCATGCTCGACATCGGGTGGATGAGCCTGCAAAGAAGATGCTCCTTTGGTTTCAGTTTCAGCTTGTACCATGGTCACGGCCAAGTTGTCTGTGGGCGACATTAGGTGTGCAGTATGGAGCTGTCACAGGAGTTAGGAAATGACAGGCAGTCCAAGAGTATGCAGATATTCGAAGCACGGCACGCCTGCGGCATGAGCGATGATAAACCCCTGGCAGCTCAAATCTTGCCGCAGATGCCGTGTAATCTGGGTTGTGTATGATCACGGGATCGGCGAGCACACCTTCGAATACGTCGGCCGAATGATACGTATTTGATTTGATCGGGTGAACCAGAGCCGAAGCCATTGTATTGAAGCGGCAGTGCGATGTTTGTTAGTTTGTCCACATGTGTCGTACACTTCCACGGCGTACAACGTACTTAGTGCGTTCAGCGAGCTAGCCCTAGGGGGAACACCAAAGTCGCACAGAAAACACTTAAGTGACGGCAGACTAAAACGTTTGATGGTGGGAACCGGGTTGGAGTAATGTATCCCGCTTGGAAAGTCAGCAAATTTCTTTCAATTGGTTTGCCTTTGTCGTAGATACCTACGAAGTAAGATGAATTTTCATTTCAGATGAATCTAAAGGTTATAAATCCAGGAACGGGGTTGGTACCTTTGTAGATCTGAAAACCAGTTCGTGGTGTTTGAATACATACCTCACGGATGTCGGGCCTTGGGATGTCAAAAATACATCAGCAAACAGTTGACAGATGGGCGGGGGAAGAGTATGAAAACCGTATTAGGACGTAGGTTATGCAGCCCAGTGGAGTTAATAGTTCCGACTTGCGTCTTGGGGAAATGGGCCTCAGTGGGTGCCTATTGGCAGATGAGATGCGCGCGTTCCAACTTGGTGTTCAGACTCTATTGCATTATGATCGCCTCAATGCATGGGGTTGACTGTCAGGTGGTGAAACAACAAAACCGTGATGGCTTACCCACCGAGTTTGTCAAAGGTCGTCGGGTTTGATGGTAAGTGTTCTAGTGCGTCGTGTATTTTCTCTCACAGGGAACGCAAACAAGTAGTAAAGCCCCGTTCTACCCGCCTTTATCGTAAGCAGGCCTCGCTCACTCTTCGTTGCTGGCAGCGTAATGTTGGTAACATTGGCTTCGGTATGAACGCCCAGTAGGTGAGCAGCTCCTGCCCTGCCATGGGTAAACCGTTTGCAATCTAGCGTAGCTGGTGGACCTAGGTTGCATAATGCGTCTGGATTGATAGTTGCATTCAAAGCATCCGCGGAGGGTCGTGTTGGTCTTATCTACATACCTGTCTATACGGTCAGCGCAGAACAAGGATGAACCAACGGGTGGGTCTACCTTCCTTGAGCCAGCAGAACGGAGTGCACCAGTGAGCGTGTGACTGGGACATAATAGCGTTCGTCGACGAGCCTAGGCCACGACTTGCCAGCTAAATAAAACTTTGCCAATACTGAACCTAGTAGTGCGTAGTCGATGGTTAGAAAAAAAATTGTGCATTTTCACACTATGTACGAGTTCCGGGGAAGTATGTATGTATCTCAGATTGACAGCCCCGACGCGCCGAACGCGTTGTAAATCCCAAGTCCGAGAAGCCACCATCATCAATTTTCCGCAATGAGGCCTTCCGCCGTGCGTCTGCTCAACATCCTCGTCCCCGTCAAACGGTGAGTCCCAACAAAATAGTGGGCTCTAGTTCATGGTAGAATACCTGTTATAGGGCTGTGGACTTTGCAGTGAAGATTCGCGTGAACCCAGAGCAGACCGGTATAGACCTCAATGTGAAGCATTCTATGGTGCGTTTCATTCAGTCCCGTACCCTCGGATTTGCTCAGGTATCGCATGTACAGAACCCGTTCGACGAAATTGGTGCGTTCCTTCTGTTCAGGATCGCACCGCGAACACCCTGTCACACATTCACCCAGCCGTCGAGGAGGCCGTCCGACTCCGGGAACGCCTCAAAGATGCTGTCAAGTCCATCAAAGTCGTCACCATTGGACCCCCCAAAGCTGTGGAGACACTCCGCACTGCACTTGCAATGGGTGCCGACTCTGCTATCCACGTGGAGATTCCCGAAGGCACTCCTTCTCCCGAACCCCTCGCAGTCGCCAAGACCCTTCGCGAACTTGTGGTGCGCCAGAAAGAGGGCGTCGACTTGATAATCATGGGGAAGCAAGCTATTGACGACGATGCAGGGCAAACAGGTCAAATGCTTGCGGGGCTTATGGATTGGGCGCAAGCAACGTTTGCAAGTAGGGTAGACGTAGATCCATCGACAAAGGCGGCCAACGTGACAAGGGAAATCGACGGAGGATTGGAACAATTGAAATGTCAATTGCCTATGGTCATCACAACAGACCTCCGGTGAGCGTTCGGAACTTGCTCGATCCTCGTTTTCTGACTGCGCAATTGTTCCTGTACAGACTTAATGGCAAGTATCCGACGAATAGAATCACTTGAACATACTGAACCGTATTCCATGCAGAGCCCAGATACGCATCCCTACCTAACATCATGAAGGCAAAGAAGAAAGCGATCGAAAAAATCACGCCCGCAGACCTCGGCGTTGATCTCACTCCTCGATTACAAACTCTCAAAGTCACAGAACCCCCCAAACGTGTTGGTGGGGGCAAGGTGGGTATAGTCGTATAAATTACATTTTCCCGGCTCACGAACTGGTGTCATGGAAGGTGGCCAACGTCGATGAGCTGCTGGTGAAGCTCAAGGAAGCCGGGATTACTGCTAAGCGCGCATGAGAACACCCTGTACCATTGTTATCGAAATAATATCTACACTCCTGGAAACATTTCATTGGTGACATTTGGTCTCGGAGTACTAGGTCCTCAACAACAGGCACGCAATACTACTACACAAGAAACGGAAGAGGAGGGCTGACGAGATATGGGTTCCAGATTGACCAGTGGTTAACTTGAGATTTTCTTTTTTCTACTTTTTCTATTTGCTTTTTCCGAAATTGCGTCGAAGCCACTAATGAGTAAATATATAATATGAGGCTTCGATAACAGGGAATGATAGGGAATGACAAGACAATGGCTACACGGAAAAATGAGAGACACGATACGTAGGAATGTGGAGTATACAGAAAAGAATGGGATGAGTGGATGATTCAGCTCACTCGCAATGCTCTGAACTTGAACTATTACGAAGTCGATCTCGAAGTTGAGGTGGAGGTATCCGCAGTTGTGGATGACCCACTGCTCGTGTTCTCGACGCCCTTATCCTCCGTGAGTACGATGAAGAAATTTAAGAAATATGGAAGATCACAAACCTTGGAACGGCACGCGGGACAATTGTTCCTGCCAGTCTCGAGCCACCTATCTACACAAGCTTGGTGAAACGCATGTTTACAAGTCAACACACGAATGTGTTCTTCGGGAGTGTAGTCCTCCAGACATATCAGGCACTGCACCAGGCAATCAGTTTGATAATCCTTCCCGAAAAAAAGGAGCCAAGTTTCCCCCTACCCTTTCGATACAATTATTGGCAATGCGCCCTGTCTTTTCGTATTCTTCCAAGGATGAGGATTGGATCACTTCCAACCCAGACCTCTCGATGTCCTCTCTAGAAGCTGTGGGTGGCTTTACTTGACCTAGGAACTCTGCTAGCTCCCTAACACGGCCGAATAATGAATAAAAATGGCTTTGTTGTATCAACACTACGTACCATAACGCTTCGAATGAGTCCAAGTTGCCACCCATGATTACATGATGATCGTCCGAAGAAAACCCTGCAAGATGAAGGTGCAGAGTTGCATCAGTTACTGTTCCCCCTTACCCACGGTAAGAAAACAATCGGATGGACGGACCGCCGATCACATAGATGAGAAGAGTCTGAGAGGCGAGCGTCTCTCCTGTTACGGCACTCGCCGATGCGATACCGCTCTGCCTGGCACGAGTCAAGTTTCTGAAGGCGTCAAAGGCGCGGTTTTGCCACGTGCGTGGCTGGGGAGATTGCTGCGTTTGTCCTGAAAGGAACCAATCTTGCGGAGTGCTTGCTTGCGATGACAGATCCGGCTGCTGTGTAAGAGGTCCGGAGAGGGAGCGATTGCCTGGTGCAGACGAGAGAGGGCCAGGGACATTGAAGGGGTTAGGGAACCCATCACTTTCCAGGGTGTCGTCCTCGTCGATAGAATGGATACGCCCATGATAGTGCTGACTGACGGTGAAGCGGATCATGAAAGTGTGCGGGGTGGGGTGACTCCCGACCTGCGGTGGGAGGCTGTAAACCAATGACAATAATAGGTATGATCAGGTTAGACCGAGTTCCCGTTCCTGCACCCGCCGACGGGGAGGACGGGGAAGGAACGCCGTCCGTAGGTGGGTGTGGTACCGCATCGACTGGAATAGATGGGGGAGAATTGTGTGTCTCAGACATACCTGGTGCATGGGTGGTAGATGAAAGAGAGGGGAAAGGGTCTTGGGCGAACCCAGCGCCAAGGGACATGTTGCCCCCCGCCACGAGGTGCCCCACCAGTACTTCCATCGTCACCATTACAGGCAGGTTGTGAAGAAGTGGCATTGGAAGTCAGCTCCTGTAGCGAGTCAGCATGTGAGTGGGGTGTAGAATAAGAAGACGACGGCGAGGACGTTGTCACTGGAGCATGAATGCGCGGCAGCGACTGCCCAGATGATGGAGGCACGGATTCATGGTCATCCGCCGGCGTTCCGGCAGCTGAAGATCGAGACCTGCGCCACCAGCTTCCACCGCTCCTCGGCGTACGTTCACGGCGAGCAGATGAACCCTGAGAGAAAGGGAGACGAAAGGGCATTACTGCAAGCTGTGATACGACTGGGAGCCTCCGAGTTGACAAGAACGTGCGCTGCAAATACGCTAGAATATGGAGTATTGACGACCCTTGTAGGATGACTGTATGCAATAGACCAGGTCAACGATGTCGACAGCGTCGACCACTAGTTGTGGAGCAGATGTAGCAGCAGGGAAGACGCCTGGAGACGTATTACCAGGACACGGCCACACCATCCATTTTAGGTAATCCACACAGCTAATACACGGTGACTTGATTCATCGATGAATGCTGAGCAAGTCACAGCACTGCGATCATGGCGCCGAAAGTTCTTCTGGTGGTCGGTGTCCATATTTTAGTGGTGCTCAGTAAGCATATCTGACACATCATGGGCTACAGACATGTTGGGCATATATGTGGCGGAACTCATATGGCCAACTGTTCAAGGCCCTGGACGAGGAGAGTCAAGGGATGATGTGAGTTTTATCCTTCGGATGGAGCCCGGATATCGGGCCTCTGATATCCCCCGATGTGTCTACACTTCCTCACTTCCTATTGGAAGCGATAGATGGGCGTTCAGCATGGGCTACGCTACTGTCACACCGTTGATGGCTTGCTTCGCTGAGAGAGAGTGTGGTGAAGTGACAAACCCTCCTAATAAACCAAGGTTGCTGAAGTTGTGGGTCTTGTCCCGCGAGTCGAGGCAGCAGCGCAAGCAATCCCTGAGTTTACTTGACGGCGGTTAGGCAGCTTAGCACCACATGTCGGGCAGGTACTACAATGCGACAGGTAATGCACAGGCTTCCAAGCCTCGTACTAGCTGCAGGAAGATGGCACGAAGTCGATGCTTGCTATAGTGCATCGCGATCCATCAATCTTACAGCGGTGCTGGTCATGCTTCACGTGCTCAGTGTAGGGATTGTTAGCGAAGGTCAACTTGATGACTTAGGCTTGTCGTCGCAAGGTGGCATGTATTAAGGACATCTAGTGTCGATAGCATCATATTAGATTTAGCTTTAAACTAAAGGACATAATTCTTCATAATAACCGGGAATGCACTTGAGCTTCTGAATTCAAACTTGCGAGTGGTAACGGGACATCCTTTGTGGGTCGGAAACCTGCTACTGGCCAAAGACACGCACCCATCGCGGCTCGAGACCTGTAAAGTCACCTGAAGGAGTTGGGAATGTATAGATCCCGACCCGGCCATCCTGTTGACCACATTGACGAGTATCTTGAGTGGTTGCGGTGACTTTCTTCCAGTCTTCGTCTTTGTTTTGCTTGTCGCCAATTGGAGAGACAGCTTCTGAGGATGATGGCGGCGATTGCGAAGCTGAAGCAATTCCACAACGGGCGCAACGCTTAGTATCCCTAACTGCCACTGTTGGAGCAACGGCACCTACCTATTTAACTGCTGTTCGGAAGTGAGATCCAGTCACAGTCGGGAGGGCCAGAGACGTCGGCAGCCCCTCCAAATGATACTCCACACCATAGGGAATAGCATCTATGGAGGCGAGGTCAAAGATGCCACAGCGACGTGAAAAGAATGGAGCTGATGGATGCTGGCACAAACTGGATTGCAGCTGCACACTATTACACTCAAGAGTACAGTAGACTCACCCGGTACATGACCTCTCGGAGGCACAAGTTTCGGCCTTCCACCGGTTCCACACGAGCAACTACGTGACTAGTCCCGGTAACGGAAGTATTAACGGAGATGTACGCCGTGTTTGCACACAGACGTTCGGCTCAAAACCATTACTGTAACCAAGTACGGCTTTTCAGAACTTGCCAGATGATGGCAACTTTGTAAGGGCAGCTAGGATGTCACAGGATGCGATGCAAGGCTAGGTGTGCACCGCATAAGTCGGTTTGTGTTTGCCTGGTGAATCCCGGCATGTTGATGCGAAAGATCAGGCGATACGGAGAGAATGCGAGCCTAAGCATGTACATCCTGTCTTCGGAGAGCGTCGAACAGCACCTGAATGTACGGTTGCTCTAGCTGACCGACGGCAGGGTTGACCCATATAGGGGTTCCCCACAGTACATGAGCAGCTTACATAGAGACCACCTTACGGCAGGTGTGGAAAACTGGGAGAAAAGATGGGAGGACTTGAACGAGACCCAGCAAGCACCTAAGCAAATCGAGTGGTGGTCCGTGCCATGCCACAGCCGTAGTATGTAGTAATAATGTAACGTGTTCTCGGTGCCCAACGCCAACACCCGACCTTGACCTTGTTCACACCCTTAGCATCGAATCAACTCCCCAAGACCTCACATGAAATACTCATTTTTCGATGGCCAAAAAGCAGTTCAAGAAACCTCTCTTCAGAACTAGGAAGCTTTCCACCTGTTCCCTTCCCGCGGTACGCAATCCATTTCTTTCAAACGACAATCGATTTGTGATAAATCACTCGCAGGGATCGTCTCAGGCTCTCGCTGGGGATCTTGCCTCTGATTCTCAAACGTTGTGGGATGGCTCTTAGCGAACGTTTGCCAGGATAAAGGACTTCCTCCATCCGTCTTGGGTGGCACCAGTTAAGAGCGTATGTAATCTATTTCGCCCCATCATTGCGTGACGTTGATTGCTCCCAACTGAACAGTGCCAAGGATCCACTGCGGAACCAGACCTCGACCCCCTATCTGTCGAAAGCCAGGTTGATGCTGCTCAGTTGGCACTGGATGTCATGACGACCATTCATCCACGGATGGGCCATACAGTCGTCGACAACGTGGCAAGGGCTAATACATCTATCGCAGACATTCAAAGTCTGAGTAATACGTATCTCTATCATTTCAAAATCTTCAACTCCGTCGTTGTCACTATCGCAAATGTATGCCGGTGGTTCTGTGCAAACGTGTTCTGATGTAGGTCGGCAGGTTCACCCGTACGCCCAGGTGGCATTGGGAATTTTAATTGCTGCTTCTCAGGTATAGTTCTCCATCTGATTCGTCCCCTCTGCTGACATCGTCGTTGCGCCAGTTGATCCTCACCCAATCGGGCTTAGACGATGCAATTTCTGCTCTTCTGAAGAAACTCAGCATTGTTTACAAGTTACTTTCGGAGGAAGATACGTTGAAGAATCTCGATGATATGAGGGATACCCTTGCGAAGATTGCGCGGGTCGTGAGCGACGCTGCACAGTTCGTCGCGAACTACTCCGAGACGAAGAGCTTCTGTATGTCTTATCACATTCATTTGGCCCCAAAGTGCTGAGGAAGGTGCGCACCAAGGGAAACGATTAGGCAAGAGTGTGCTCTCCGAAACACAGTCGGTTGTTGATGGCTACGTCGAGACTCTAGATGATTTGATGCAACAATACCGCGACTGCATTGTCCGAGATATTCAGATTAACGTATACCGGGTACTTGAAGACGTGAACCTCGAAGGCATGGCTTATGCGGCTGGGGCCGGCCTCGACACAACCAAAAGATGCCTCGACGGCACGAGGACAGAAATTCTGCAGCAGATCGTGTCCTGGGCTACTGATCTTGATGTCAATGCCCCTCGCATCTTGTGGCTCCGTGGGCAGGCGGGAGGGGGAAAATCTACCATTGCTCATACGGTTGCATCATGGATCAAGGACGTAGGGGGTCTTGGGTCATGTTTCTGTTTCGCTCATGACAGGCAGGCCGAACGTCGAGAACGGAGGATATTCACAACTATTGCCCGTGGTCTGGCAGACCGCGACCCTGCGTTTCGGCGAGCATTGGCGGACGCCGTTTCAAGGGACTACGATCTCAAGACCACATCTGATGTGGTGCAGCAATGGCAGAAACTCATCTTGGGGCCGTTGTCCAAGGTAGATGGTATGATAGTTGGGAACGTGATTGTGGTGATCGATGCCCTGGATGAAAGTGGTCCGGAAACTTCGAGGAGACAGATACTTTCCCTCCTCACATCGACGGAAGCTAACCATCTACCCACGAATTTCCGCATCCTCCTGACATCCAGACCATTGCCAGACATTGAACATGCTTTGGGTACTTGTCCCCACGTAAAACCGACTTCGTTGGATAATATATCTGCAGAATTAACGGAACGTGACATCCGGCTGTACGTTTCCACACAACTTGGTCATCTTCGGGAGATGGGAGCTATTGAAGTCCAAACCATCGTCCAAAAGTCGGATGGCCTATTTGAGTGGGCTCGCCTGGCGTGCGAGTTCATTAAACCAAGTAAGCCTGGTCGGACGGTTAGGGAGCGCTATGACGAGGTTGTGTATCTTGGCTCTGGAGGTGGGGGAACCCCATTGGATGTCACGTACAGGACAATCCTGGAAGACACTATACCTGATGACAATACCACGCTCGCACGATTTTGTTTTGTGATGAGGGGCATTTGAACCTCTTGGAATGGATGCTGCAAACAAGATTTGCACTCACTTTCCTCGGAAGGAGGACCACTGGACATGGCCATTATCCTTAGATTCATGTCTCTAGTATTGAGTGGTATTGCAGACAGGACCTCTGTTGTCTGGCTGCTGCATCAGGAAAATAACACTTTACTATTTTTGACTTTTTGTGACTAATGTGACTTTTTGGGAAGGAATCTACTATCATTACCCATGTCCTGCAGGCATGGCTGCACTGTTCTTGCTGATTGGTCTTGTTCAAATCACCTAATTCATAGCTTTCAGTAGATACCACATACATTCAAATTGGTGGAGGTTCCAAAGAGATATTGTGATTTTTCTCTCAGACAGTGTGCATCACACCAATGGCTCAATATCTCTGAATTTTCAGATATTTTCTAGTCTTCTTGGCTTAGATATATCATCACTTAGTTGTCTCAATAGATTCTGTTCTCTTTTCATTCTTCAAAATGTTGTATATGGTCAAAAAAAAGTACAGATAGTAGGTTCCTTCCCAAAAAGTCACAAATAGTCACAATAGTCACAAAAAAGTCAAAAAAAAGTCACAAAAAAGTCAAAAATAGTAAAGTGTTAATTTCCTGATGTGCATGCTTTGTTCTGTGATTCTCTCACTGATCCTGCATGGAGTGGGATATATTGTGTTGGTGCATCTGACATGCACAACCTTGTCTTTGCTTCACTGCAAATTCTCTGCAATGACCTGTGATTCAATATTTGTGGACTGGAAAGTTCCTATCAAGGCAATTCTGAGGTTCATGATTTGGCAGAGAGAGTTGACAAAGGCATCTTGGCATATCTGTCCTATCCATGCAGATTCTGGGCTCAGCATCTGTAAGACCACATTT